GTTTTAGATAAAGATTTTACATTGTTTGAAATGAATAGAGCTTTGATTGGAGTTAAGAATACATCCCCAGGTAAAGATGGCGTCTGCTATAGGATGATGGAGCAGTTATCAGATGCTGCTAAAGGAGAAGTTTTAAAGTTATACAATAAAGTATGAGATCAAGGTGAATTGCCCTCCAGTTGGAAACATTCAGTCGTTTAACCAATAGTAAAGCCAGGTAAGAATAAAGTAGCGGTAAAAAGTTATAGGCCTATAGCTCTAACATCTAATTTATGTAAATTGATGGAGAGAATGAAAACTAAGAGATTAATGTATGAATTAGAAAAAAAGAGGATTTTTATTTCCTTATCAGAGTGATTTCAGGATGGACAACTATAGATCCAATTGTTTGTTTAGAAATTGAGATAAAAAAGGCTCAGATAAATAAATAAATTCTCCTAGCTACATTTTTTGATATTGAAAAAGCGTATGACATGCTTTGGAAGGAGGGTTTATTAATTAAAATGGATAAAATGGGAATAAAAGGAAAAATGTTTAATTGGATTAAGGATTTTTCAAAGAATAGAACAATAGAAGTAAGAGTTGGAGTAAATGATTCAAATATATATGCTATACAAAATGGAACTCCACAAGGCAGTGTATGTAGCCCATTGCTTTTTAATATAATGATTTATGATATTTTTGATGATACAGATTTTAGAATTAGTAAAGCTTTATATGCAGATCATGGAGCATTATAGGTGAGAAGAGGCAATATTATTATTTAAAAAAATAGACTCCAATCAGCAATTAATAGGGTTGAAAGATGGTTGCATGAATGGAGGTTTCATTTGTCTGTTGAGAAAACACAAGTAATAAGTTTTTCAAAGAAAATAATTAATCCTACAGTAGATCTTAGATTATATGGGCAAAAGTTAAAGCAGGTAAATATTGTAAGGTACCTTGGCATATGGTTTGATGTAAAACTTTCATTTAAGATGCATGTTCAGAAGATTATTGATAAATGTAAAAAGGGCATTAATATTTTGAGATGTTTGTCAGCGAATGATTGGAGGCATCAAGCATCTTTGAAAAGAATATATGATGTTTTAATTTGTTCTGTGTTGGATTATGGATGTAATGTTTATAATTCAGCTGCAAATTCCTGATTAGATTCAGATCAAATCCAAGCTAAAGCCTCAGGATCTATTGTGGATCTTTTAGAACGTCTCCAATTCCTGCTCTTCAGGTCATTACTGGATAAATGCCATTAGACTGAAGGTGAATGAAACTGTCAGCAATTTATTGGATAAATTTACAAGGGCATGAAGAAAATCACTCACTAAACAAATATTCAGAGAATGTTGGGAGTTTGGCCATAATATAAGGAGTTTTGGATGGGAAGGAAATATTTACACAGATCAGTTGGGGATACACAATATAGCAAGTTGTAAAACTAATTAAATCTAAAATTGGCCCATGGTCATTTGAAAGGCCAATAGTACACTTAGAAACCAAAAACTAGAACAGACATGTGGAGGTTTATATCAAATTATTCAGCAGTATTTAGAAATAATGTATATATACAGATGCATCAAAAGAGGAAAATGGTAAAACTGGAAAAGCAGTTTATATTCTGAAACAAAAAGTTATCATGAAAGAAGAACAACAGATAATCTATCAATGTTTTCAGCAGAAATGTTGGCAGTTATTTTGGCATTGCAGTGGCTGCTGGAGGTGAAGCCCAGTAAGGCAGATATATGTTCAGATTCAATGTCTTGTTTCACCAGAATTATAAGAGGAAAATGTGATAGTCATCAAGATCTTCTGGATGAAGTTCATTATTTGATATATGGTATAAAGCAAAAACCAATAAATATTGTATTCACATGGATTCCAGCAGATAAAGGAATTGCAGGTCATAAAAAAGTAGATAAATTGGCTAAAGAAGCTGTTAAAGAGACAGAAGTTAATATAAAGTCCCACCAAGTACAACAGAAATTACAGTAATTATTAAAGATAAAATAAATAACATGTAGCAGGAGAGATGGAATTTAGAAGAAAGAGGAAAGAAATGGCATAAAATACAGAAGGAGGTCATCATGAATAACAACAGTATAATGAATAGGAGAGAGGAAGTATGGATTAACAGGTTGAGGATTAAAATTAATAGGGAAACATCCATCAGGTGATTGTTCTTATTGCAGGGAAACAGAAAATGTTGATTTATTGTAGGAAATATATAAAAGAATTGGAAAGAATGATGGGAGGTCAGTAAATATGGATAATTTATTAGGAAAGCAGCAATCAATTGATATAATTCAAACACTTATTAAATATTTAAAAGACACTAAATTATCTGGTGGTAATGCACAAAGTTTGTAAACTGCCAAGAAACACTATAGAAGAAGAAGAAGAACCAGAGAGCGTTTGCTGAGACGAAAGCTGCTCTAACAAGACTGGAAACATCTTGGACACGTTAGAGCAACGAATGGAAGAAGCAGAAAGTAGGACCGGCTCGGCGGAAGGAGTTAGTCAGAGAAACGAGAGAGTGCTTCGGTCCTTGCTGAGACTTGAGGCTTTACTCACTAACCAATGTGATGACCCACAGACCGTCTGCGCCGGAACCATCTCAGAATCTAGCAGGTTCTGGAGGGAGGGAAGCCAGAAACAGGACATGATCGGCTTCGTAAAGGAATGAATCAGAATCAGAACCAAGGGAAAACAATATACTTTGACTAGGACTTCTCTCCAGAGCTCCAAAAGAAGAGAGTGAGACTGCAGAGCTTCATCAAGCAACTTAAAGGAAAACAGGCAAAATGTGGTTTTCCGGCGCAACTCAGAATGGACTTGGGAATGAAAAGCTTCCCTCCTCTTGTGGACGCGGTACCGACGTTGGAGAGGTTGGACGTCTCGGTGCAGATGAGTGAGAGAGAGAGGATGGAAGCAGAGCCTCCAGAGAGGCCTGGACTCCGAGAGTCAACAACAGGAGACATGGAAAAGGGGGACAACCTGATGCACATCTAAAAGTTTACATTGAAGACTGAGGAGAACAAAATGTTGATAAACAGAGGAACTCTGGAGGATATAAGGGATGTTTTAGCAACAATTATTAGGGGAGAAGAAGACGTTATGGAAACAGCCAATGTTACATAGTTATATAGTGAATCTGTATTTCAAATGGTTCTGATCTCACGGGTCGCCAATATCACCTGGTTACTATCGTTCTCCCAATTGGGTGGAGATCTCAGCAGGGAATTATTGCTGTTCTTTGTGATCTGGAAGCACTTAGTGCTTTTTCCCCAGAGCGACTACGGGCACACGGCGCTCTGCCTTGGTTACATCGGGGGCTGGTCAGGAGGCCACCACAGATTATATGTGGTCTTAATAGAACCAGGCGGGTTGATGGGAGTCCTTGGGGCTTCATGTGTTCAACTATTTCTGTGTTACTATGTTCTTGTTCCTTGACATGTTTGTGGCCACACTGAGTGACCAACAGGAGGCAGAAACAGATCAGATGCAACATCCAGAATTAAGGTCAAAGGGTCAAAAAGTAGAGGTCGAGGTTGACATGATTAAAACAACTATATATTATGAGTGATTTAAATATTGTGTGTTATCATATGAGAGGACTGGGTCATCCGATAAAGAGGAAGAAAATATTAGCTGAATTAAAATGGCTTAAAAGTTCAATATCTCTATTGCAAGAGACTCATCTTAACGACTTGGAGCAGCAGAAATTAAAAAGAGAGTCGGTGGATCAAGGGTTTTTAGCCAGCTGTCCAAAAAGCAGAGGGAGGGGCAATTTTATTATAGAAATAGTTCAAATTACTGTTAATGGCAAGAATACAAAGTGTAGACTGAAAAAAGTTCAGATAGAAAAACAAACTTTTCAAACTTTCACTCTTTTCTACATAAATCTTCCAAATCAAAGCAGCAAAATATTTCCTGTTTATTTTTCTAAAACATCTTCAAGGATTTCCAGCTAAGTTTGTAGAGAAACTAAAAAACATCATAAATCTGATTTTATTTGTTTAGCAAATATTTTAAAGAGAGAAAAACACTTTTATCTCCTCACTAAATTATTGCAAACTAGAAATCCCTCTAACTGAACTACAATGTTTTAATATTCATCCTAAATAAATCATTTCCTATTAGTTTATAGTTTCTTTCATTTCTACCAATGTTTCTTTACACCATGAAAGTTTATTATAGACTTCATAAATAATCAATGTTGTTCTGATCTCTACTAAATCAGAACATTTTAAAGTTTGCACTTTCATTTATTTATTTTCTTGTTACTAAATATTAAAATGTTTCCATAATTTAGTGTTAATCTATTTTTGTCACATCATTAATATTTGTAATTCTCCTTCCATTAAACTGTTGCTGCTCCAAACTGACCAGATCAAAATAATGAATCAGCAAATAAAGTAAATGTTAACAAATTAGATTCATTGCATAAATCATTTATGTAAAGTAATAAAGTTTAGGATCCAGTTCTGACCCTTGTGGTTTTCCACAGGTAACTTCTAGTAAATTATAATTCATATTATTTGTACATTTTGATGTTTTGAGTAACTTTTACCCAGGAATGTGAAATGAATCATGATTCAGAAATAAGAGAATAATTATATAAATATATATTGGAGACAGTTTATATGAGCTATAGTAATAATCTGTATTATAATAATGTTATTTCAGCTGCAGTAGTTTGGTAATATCAGGAACTACTGATTTTGTTGGATCTTTCTGATTATTTTCAGTTTGTATTTATAGTCAGTTCAGTTACTGCTGCAGGAATCAGCTGTTATTTTTCTCTGGACTTTTTTCTCCTCATGATTCCATCATGAGACATTTTCATCAGAACTTCTCTTTTCCTCATGAAGGTTTTATCAACATGTCTCTAATTTCACTGCAGATTTTCTGCTGCTCTGAAAGAAGAAACTGAAAATCATGTGAGTTGTGATGTCATCAGTCCCACCACATCCCTCACATTTACTTTCAGTTTTAGAGTCAGACTGTTGTTCATATATTCTTCATCAACTCTTTGGATCATTTGATCAAACTGTAAGTTTTCTTGGTTTTTCTAATTGAACTTTGATTTTCTTGTTTGTTTTTTCTCTCATGTTTTTAGAAAACATCCACTTCTGATTTCTTGTCAAAGTTTCATCTCTCTTCCTTTTAAAGTTTCATCTTCAGGATTATTAGATTAGTGATGAACAGCTGATGTTTCTTTGGTTTTTCTCTGAATAAATTATTTCATGTTTCTATTTCCTGGATTCAAACTTTGAGTTGTTTCCCAAAAAAGATAGAAGATTAAACCATGATTTATCAGATATTCTGACTTAATTACACCTTGATTTCGTTTCTCAAAAGCAACAACACATATGTTACATTTATCCAATTATCCACTTATGTGACAATTTATCCTCTGCCAATAACCTGGCAGAGGATAAATTGCTGTTCTTAGTTCAGCCTGGTTCCCCAAACCCATCAGAAACCAAAGTGTTTATCAGTGATTCACCATCTTGTCTGCATGTTTTGGTCTTTTTTCCTTTCCTGAAATAAAATGCTGCAAATTCATGTTGATATTCAGTCATGTACTATATTATTTTTAACATTATGATGATAGAAAATACTATTATCAAGCTTAAAAAGATTTATGTCACAGTTTGTTTCTGAAGACTGATGTTCTAACTTTGTCTAATTACACAGTGAGGTTGTAAAAAACCTCTACATATGAAAAGCAACATGTTGACAATATTAAAAACAGGACATGTGGTATGAGAGAGGGAGAAATGATGGAGAAAAAAGGTGAGTAATGCAGCAACCTGGTGCATTGCAGCAACCTGGTTTATTGCAGCAACCTGGTGCGTTGCAGCAACCTGGTTGCTCTGTGGAGGATGAGGGAGGGGAGCCGGCGACGCCAGCATCTCAGTGGGGAGCCAGACTCAGATGACAATAATTGTTCTCACTATTAAACCTCAATGCAACTCCAGACAGAAAAACTTATGATCGGTTCTGCTGAGCTGAGCTTGCAAATTCTCCAAGGTTTATTCCTGAGGTTTCAGGAACTGCAACTGTTCTGTTTTTCTCATTATAAACCAGTTCTTGTTTGTGGTTCTGCTCACACAGCATCTGAGTCTGAATGTTCACAGCAAGGCATTTCCTTGTATAAGACAGGCAGCCTCTCAATGGGCAGAACAGCTGCCAATGTTTTCTGAATTGTATGATATACCAGATAACTGACAAGCCCAAAAAGCAGAAATCCTGTCATGAAAAACTGAGTTTTATATACATCTTAAAATCCTCAACCAACAATATGGACAGATGCAGGGCTTTTCACATGTTTTATACTGTTGTTTTTCTAAAGAGGGAGAGGCAATGAGAAACCACTTTAAGGTATGTCAGCTGTCTGTAAGATGTTTGTCATGATTTGTGTAGATTAAAAACATTCAATCTGTATCGACTCACACAGACAAAGATAGCAGTTGGAAGATTTTAATGAACAAATTCTTTGGCGCTCAAACCCGGCGGAAGACTTGTGAGCTGAGGATCACCGAGGGCAGATGATCATTCTTACCCCCTGTCCGAATTCTGGTGATGGAGCGCAGCCTTGGATGGAGGAACGAAGAGTGGGCCTGGAGGATGTTCGTCGGGCTGAAGGTGGAGATGGGGAGGAGGCGGGATGAAGCACAGCTGACGAGCAGGCAGACACCCAGTGTCTAGGCTCCTTAAAGGGACCGGCTTAAAGATGATTGGCTGGAGCGGCGCGAGGAGCCGATCCTGGTTGGCTGCGGCGTGAGTGATGGGGATCAGTTGTGTTCTGTCTCCCAGAATGAATTTACGCCTAGGCTCCATTTCAATCTGTATCGACTCACGCAGAGAAAGATAGCAGTTAGAAGATTTGTAATTACAAGTTCTTTGGCGCTCAAACCCGGCGGAAGACTTGTGAGCTGAGGATCGCCGAGGGCAGATGATCGTTCTGGCAAAGCTCAGGATAGTATTACCCCCAAAAGACGAGGCCTAGCTGGCATGCCGTCCTATGGACCGATGGGGAGTTACAGACTAATGGACTGTTAGACGTGAGCCGTGTTGGCAGGGACTTACGGAAGTATATAGCTTGATGAGCACAGATGTGTTACATGATGCGGAGAAAGGACCGGTTGCGGCCAAGCTGAAGGCCGAGGATCTCTGGGGACATAGAGCGTTGAGCTTCGAGCACGGTTGGAAAGATCTGGGTTAATGTAGGAAGAAGAGGCCGAAGATGACCAGTCCATTAATCCAGAGAGCAGCGCGGAGACGGAACCGGGGGGATTTCATCAGGACAGGTCCATAAGGACCAGAGCTGGAGCTGATTTTCTTCAGATTCCTGTTCTGCAGCTCATCTCCACAATGTCTGTGTTTAGATGCTACATTAATGTGGTGAAGATATGTTTTATTTTCCTGAATGTGAATGAATCAGGGATTCATTCACATTCAGCTCGTCTTAAAACCCATTTATTTTACTTGGCTTTCAACTCCAGCGAGATCTAGTTTTATATTGTGTTTGTTTGTTTTAAACTGTATTTGTTTTTATCTATTTTATGTACAGCACTTTGTTTCAGCTGTGGTTGTTTTAAAGTGCTTTATAAATAAAGTTGGTTTGGTTTGGTATTTTCTTACCAAGAGACCTTATAGACACCCTCATGACAAAATTTAATTGGTGGACTGATTTATAAACCTAATCATTAATTGCTTTTAATTTCCAGTGACCAAACTTTAATCTCTGCTGTTTGAAAGTTAATCTACAGGATTACTGATGAACTAAAATCAAACATGATGAACATCTGATGTTTTTTTCTTCTCTGAACAAATTCATTCATGATATTTCTTTCCTTGTATCAAAATCTGGTCTCCACCATTAAAGTCAGACACAATAAGTTTGTCCTGCTTCCTTTCAGAACTAAAAGCTGTTACAGTAAAATGTGTTCAATTCAGTCAAATTACTACATAGTTCATCTTTAGTGGCACATTTAATTCAGTTTAATAATTAACTAACTAAAATATTTCCTTTTCAGGTTTAATCAGGGAATGTAAATGTTGCTCCATGTCTCCATCTAGTGGACTGATAGTAGAAGTGCAGCAGCTGATGGCAGCTTCCTCTGCCTCTTTGCTGTCTGACTGCATTCACCTGACACTGACATGAAGCAGAGAAGAAGAGCCAATCAGAGGAGGAGCAGCTGATCTTTTTCCAGCACTAATGATGTAAAGGATGATCAGAGTTGATGTGCAGATGAATGATGTGTGTTTCCTCGTAGGTGAAGCTAGAAAGTGTGTGTGAGCTGATGTGAATTCAGCAGCATGGATCAGTGTGAGGACAGAGAGGAGGGAGTCCCTCCCTCTAAAACCACTCTGTGTGGGGGAGATGAGAGCCAGAGCAAAGGTCAGAGGTGAGGTCACCATCTCTAACTGTCCACAGCCCTTTTCACACAGCGTTCACTATATCAGGCCAGAACAGACGTGGTGATGAAGCTGCTGCTGCTCCTCTTTGCTGATTAAGTTTTAATCATCATGTTTCTGTCAGGATCCATCGGAGACTCAAACCAGAACCAGAACCAGAACCAGAACCCAGCTGTGTCTCCTTTAAGAGTGACAGATCAAAGGAAAACCCCATTCACTTTAAATCTGCTGGATCTCCACCATCAGAGAGGTGAGCTGTTTCTAACTGCTGTAACTTCTGTTTATATCTGTTGTTGTGGCCATGTGATGATAAGTTCTGTTGGGTTCTGTTGTCATGAAAACATTGGACTGAATTTCAGGTTATTTTTCTTTTCATACGTCAAAGATGTAATACGTATGATATCTCCATGAAAACATGTACCAATAATGAACATGTTACTATGAACACAATAAAGTTCAACTGGATCCTTTGTATAAAAATCAAACAGGTCCGTTTGGATCCACAGTCTCTACCCAGAGCTTCACTAGTTAACAGAATCTCTAAATCTGATCTGATGTTTACCTGATATCAATTTAACCATCATTCATTGGACAGTTATTGACTCCATACAGAAAGAATCTCATAAATCCTCAGTCAGGACTCACTCTTATAAACTATTATGTTGACATGACATTTGGACCAGAAACATTTAACTGTGTTTTATTCTGTTTTGTTTAAACTTAATTTTTCCAAATGAAACACTCATTTATTTTGTCAGATTTTAATATTAACACAAGAACAAATAGACTGAAGTGAATTTTATTTCTAGGTTGATATTTGCATCTTTCTCTAAAATCTGACAAAAGACAGATTCATTCTGAAATGAAACATTTTCTATGAATTATTTTTATGATTCCACCTCTGAAGTTCAAACATCATCCAACATGGCAGATTATGAACCATTTCTACAGTCAAACTAAATATTTAGTGGATCTGATTGAGCAGTGGGCTTCAGTGTCTCTAACGGACCATCTGGTTCTGATTGAAGCTCCATCAGATCCTCCTTGGATGGTCAGAGTGGAAATGATTCCTGGTTCTGCTCCATGTCAGAGCTCAACACTAAGATCACCAAACTGTTCTCTCAGTCATTACAAACCAACATGTTGGTCTCAGAAACAAATCTTTCTGCTCTTTAAAGAAGGCTGGACATTATTCAGGAGGATCAATGATCAGGAACATGTTGGAGGATTGGACCGGTTCTGATAGGAATCATTTAGAATATCAGGTTGATGATCTGTCTGGTTCTGGTTTTGTTTTTGGATCATCCCATTAACTTTAAATCTCCTGGATCTCCATCATCAGAGAGGTGAGCTGTATCTAATTACTGTAACTCTGGAAACTGAACCAGTAAGATCTCAGATGTTTCCAGTTATATTTCCAGAGGTTTGATCCATTATCTACAGAAATCAGCTGCTCTGTTCTCATGAAAAACACCTTCATATCTTTATCTCTGGATGTTGATGATGATGTTGTGTTGCTTCCTGGCTCCATGTCAGACTAACAGTGGATCACATTTCCACTGGCAAATACCTGGTAAAGCCATTCTGGTCCATCAGGACTTGGTTCCTGTGTGCATTGTGAGAGCAGTTCAGCAGGGAAGGAAAGCTTCATGATGCGGTTGGTGAGATCTGCTGGAACTCAACCAAACTGAGCTGATGTGGACCATCAGAGGTTCTGCTGGTTCTTAATGGGATCAGCAGGAACATTAAATATTTACATCTACTTAGATCACCTGGTTCACTGCTCACATCCAGATATCACTTCATGGACCTTTACCTTCTGATTGTCTCTGTGAGGACAGATACAATGTGAGCTCACTGGATTCCAGGGATCTACAGGATCCATTTTAAAATCCTCACTATAACATCCAGGAGAGGATCCTTTAAGGACACACCCACATATGTCAGACCTCCTCCATGTCCACATCACCTCAGATCTAGTCATCAGAACCTGATGGATGTCCCACACTGTCCTGAAGACCTGTGTGGACGGAGCCTTCACTTCCACTGTCCCCAAGGTTTGGGAAACTGTCTCCACCAGAATCAGATCTGCTGACAGTTTGGACTTTGTGGAGTCCAACTTCAAAATCAACTTTTTAAAATGGCTTCTGGATTATTCTGGTGTTACTGGTTGTAGTGAAGACTGAAGCCAGTTTGGTTATGGGTTTGCAATCACTCCAGGGTGTCTTATATATAAGTTTAGGTGAGTTGGTGAAATGAATTTCCGAGTCCAGAATTGAGCTTTACTTGATTTTAATTAGCTCTTGAGGTTCCTCCATGCATTTACATGTGGTGTGTTTGTGTGGTTTTCTATAAAGATAAAAAAATACAAATCATGAGAACTTGCCTATAAATACTTTAACAAATACACCAAATGTCCTCAAAATGAATAAACATGTTTGAAGATTACTAAAGACTAGCAACTGTTTAATATCTGACTCTGAGAACGTAAGCAATAATTACAAATCAATAATAATCAACCCTGCAAATTATAGCATCACACAATAAAACACACAAGAGAAATAAGGCATTTCAATTGGAAATGGTAACAGGAATAACAGCTGCATCTAATTAATCGAAACCTAATAGCTTAATGTTAAACAGTTAACTTTTAGCAATAAGAGTAAACCACAATAAACGATCATAATATTCAACAGGACAAAGTGCAAATACAGCTCTTAGAAATGTATGAAACTGAACTAAAACACCAACAGTAATACTTTGAGTCAAAGGACGGACACATTAGAAAGAGGTGATAAATGAAGTTTGCTGTCAGAGCCACCAGATCTGAACACTCAATGTTCAGATCTATAAGCAAGATGTATCAAATATGAACAAAAAGCCACCCAGTGACTGAAATAAAATACTACATCTAGAAAACCTCGATGAACGAAAAACTAAGCTAGAGGGCTGAAAATAAACAATTAACAATCTTTTGTACACTGATATTCATCAATGTAGATCAAGTTCCTCTTTCTAACTTTGTATTATGTTCATGTGATGCTCTGTTTTTATATATCAAGGACTTTTAATGAGAAACTCCTGGAGATTTCCTCTGAAGAGCAGAGGAGGAGCAGCAGAGAGGCAGTGATGAAGATCACACTGAACTTCCTGAGGATGAAGCAGGAAAATCTGGCTGAACATCTGCAGAGAAGTAAGAGGATTTCTTCAGAGATTATAAATGATAGATAAATTACACATTTACTGAAGTGATGTAGTCAAATTCAGAAAAGGATTTACTTTCATATCTGATTTTCATTATTGTGTTAATTAAGGACATTTGGCTGCAGTTTGTCAACATAAACTTAAATCTGGTCTGAAGAAGAAGTTCCAATCTGTGTTTGAGGGAATTGCTAAAGCAGGAAGTCCAACCCTTCTGAACCAGATCTACACAGATCTCTACATCACAGAGGGAAGGACTGGAGAGGTCAATAATGAACATGAGGTCAGACAGATTGAAACAGCATCCAGGAAACCACACAGACCAGAAACAATAATCAGACGAGAAGACATCTTTAAAGTCCCACCTGGAAGAGATCAACCAATCAGAACAGTGATGACAAAGGAGTGGCTGGCATTGGGAAAACAGTCCTAACACAGAAGTTCACTCTGGACTGGGCTGAAGACAAAGCCCACCAGAACATCCAGTTCATATTTCCATTCACGTACAGAGAGCTGAATGTGCTGAAAGAGAAAAAGTTCAGCTTGGTGGAACTTGTTCATCATTTCTTTAGTGAAACCAAAGAAATCTGCAGCTTTGAACACTTCCAGGTTCTGTTCATCTTTGATGGCTTGGATGAGAGTCGACTTCCACTGGACTTCCACAACAAGGAGATCCTGACTGATGCTACAGAGTCCACCTCAGTGGATGTTCTGCTGACAAACCTCATCAGGGGGAAACTGCTTCCCTCTGCTCTCCTCTGGATAACCACACGACCTGCAGCAGCCAATCAGATCCCTCCTCAGTGTGTTGGCATGGCGACAGAGGTCAGAGGGTTCAATGACCCACAGAAGGAGGAGTACTTCAGGAAGAGATTCAGAGATGAGAAACAGGCCAGCAGGATCATCTCCCAAATGAAGACATCACGAAGCCTCCACATCATGTGCCACATCCCAGTCTTCTGCTGGATCACTGCTACAGTTCTGGAGGATGTGTTGGAGACCAGAGGGAGGAGAGCTGCCCAGAACCCTGACTGAGATGTACATCCACTTCCTGGTGGTTCAGACCAAAGTGAAGAAGGTCAAGTATGATGGAGGAGCTGAAACAGATCCACACTGGAGTCCAGAGAGCAGGAAGATGATCAAGTCTCTGGGAAAACTGGCTTTTGATCAGCTGCAGAAAGGAAACCTGATCTTCTATGAATCAGACCTGACAGAGTGTGGCATCGATATCAGAGCAGCCTCAGTGTACTCAGGAGTGTTCACACAGATCTTTAAAGAGGAGAGAGGTCTGTACCAGGACAAGGTGTTCTGCTTCGTCCATCTGAGTGTTCAGGAGTTTCTGGCTGCTCTTCATGTTCATCTGACGTTCATCAACACTGGGGTCAACCTGATGGAAGAAAATCCACCATCATTTTTTACTATTACTATTTTATTTTATTTTAACAAAGCAAATATCAATAATCTCCATCAGAGAGCTGTTGAGCAGGCCTTACAGAGTCCAAATGGACACCTGGACTTGTTCCTCCGTTTCCTCCTGGGACTTTCACTGCAGACCAATCAGAGACTCCTACAAGGTCTGCTGACAAAAACAGGAAGTAGCTCACAGACCAGTCAGAAAACAGTTCAGTACATCAAGGAGAAGATCAGTGAGAATGTGTCTGCAGAGAAAAGCATCAATCTGTTCCACTGTCTGAATGAACTGAATGATCGTTCTCTAGTGGAGGAGATCCAACAGTCTCTGAGTTCAGGAAGTCTCTCCACAGATAAACTGTCTCCTGCTCAGTGGTCAGCTCTGATCTTCATCTTAGTGTCATCAGGAAAAGATCTGGATGTGTTTGACCTGAAGAAATACTCTGCTTCAGAGGAGGCTCTTCTGAGGCTGCTGCCAGTGGTTAAAGCCTCCAACAAAGCTCTGTAAGGACACAGATTGTTTTTGCATTTTTTGATAGATAGAAATCTGCTAATTATGAGGTAAATATGAGTGCATTGCGCATGCTCTCTTCAGTGTGTTCCACTGGGGAGTTGCAAAAAAGAAATAGACTTCCTTCAGCAGGTGGACATAGTGTTGCATATTGAAGCAGCAAAACTCTTCCACTTTTAATATTGAAAGTGGACTAATAAAGTTAATTGTGGAATTTTATAATGCACTCTCCGTAGTTCAGTCCTTTAAGGCTGGAGGTCCAACTATAGAATGAAGCAGTTTACAATAAATGCAAAGGTTGTGTGAAATAAGATAGTTCCTTCTCTCTCCAATAAAAACATGTTTGATTTGAAAGAACATAAATTTATTGGAATTGTTTAATAACAGATTTTCCTCCCTTTCGCCTCAGACTGAGTGTCTGTAACCTCTCAGAGAGAAGCTGTGAATCTCTGTCCTCAGTTCTCAGCTCCCAGTCCTCCAGTCTCAGAGAACTGGACCTGAGTAACAACAACCTTCAGGATTCAGGAGTGAAGCTTCTCTCTGCTGGACTGAAGAGTCCAAACTGCAACCTGGAAACTCTCAGGTAAAATGTTCTCAGTCCTAGTGATTTCTATCCACTAGCTGCTAGCAGAGATGCCAAAAGTATTTGACCTCCCTTCCAAATGTTCGTAATCAGGTGTTCGAATGACTTATATTGCCACAGGTGTATGAAAGTAAGCACCTCAGTATGTAGACTGTTTTTTCAAACATTTGTGAAAGAATGTGTTGCTCTCAGGAACTCAGTGAATTCCAGTGTGGAACTGTAATAGGATGTGCAACAAATGTTTTATTTCATATCCTAGACAACTGAGAACTGATAAATATGTAGAAATTGAATTGTTATAATTCCAACTATCATAACTAGAACTTAAGGCTGAGCACCAGAGTTTTCTAGAAAAACTGTTGCATTTTATTTTTTTGTTTTAAAGTCTCTACATTGAAGACGATATGAAATAAAGTCATTCTTTGTTTTGTATTACTATCAGCTTCAATAGCCCCTCTGCTCTCGGCTCACATACGGAGCTGTCGGCTAGTGGAAACACTCAGCCCCTCCAGTTTCAAACTCTTTTCTTTATTAAAGTAAGAGTTAGAGAGCTAAACAGAATTGAAACATTGGCCACATTTGACAGAAAAAGGAGCAAGTCTATGAAAGCCATGAAGTCAGTTGCGCTACTTTTGATTCAAGGCATAATAATGCAGTTTATCATGATTCAGCCAAAGTGATGAAATGAACAAACTGCAGTCTGATAGTTTTTAGTGTGTTTCTTCCGACTGAGCAGTGAAAGTAAATAAAATGTCTTACATGTCTTTTGCTTTAAGTATTTATTTACTGGATGTTTTGTTTGGTGCTGCAGAGCCACAGCTAACAGCTAACAGCTAGCTCCTCACTCCAGGGGCTCGAATAGAGCTTGTTGCTCCTCCTACACTTTGAAGTGAACCATTGTTCTAAGAATGGTGGGGGGTACGTTAAAATTAATTCTTATTCTTTTCTTAAATGAATGGCAGATTTATGCCATTCTTTGTTTCTATTGCATTTTTATATTGATATTGTTTCAATATAAAAGTTTCTTTCATGATTTATTTGGGTGGACAATTGTAAGATTGCAGGGGTCCCCGAACCCACCTGGGATTTACGGCCATATCCATTCAGGTCAGCCTGTGTCCAGTTTGAGTGAAAAGAGGTGCAGGTGATCCAAGCTTAAAGGATCAAGCAGTGGCAGCAGGAGGCAACATGTAGAGGCACCAGCTTTCTGATTGGTTCATTCTCCTTGTTTTAAATGCATCAACTATAAACATATCAATAGGAATAAATCTGCTCCACCAGGCCAGTGAAACGCTCAGAGCAACAAAGACTCTTGATATCCAGCTTTGTAAAAAATAAAGAGGATTAATGAAGATCCTTCCTCCCAGGAGTTGTTAGACTTTCTAACCAGAACTGCTGCCAAAAAACTCATTAATTATTTACATCCTGGCTGTTAATGCAGTCATATTAACTGTCTTTTAAATAATCTATTGACGTTTCAACATACAAATATACACATTTTACATATGATTATAATTTTTTTTACTCAGCTGTGCATTTTTCAAACTGGTTATTCTGTTTTTATTAAATGTACAGCATTTATATTCCTCTATTATAGATGTGTCCTTACTCTACAGTCTCCTATAATGGCTTATTTTTACCTTTTCTTCAATGTTTTATTTTTCCATTTATCTTAAAGTTGTTGCTGGTAAACCTGAACTGCCTGCTGTAGCTCAATGAAGGATGTTTCTATTCTGATCCGGTCTATAAGTGACAAATGTTGCTTTTAATTAGTAATGTTACAGATTTAGAGTGTTATTACTATTTCATCTTATTGACAAGTTAATATGTTGACTTTTTTTGTCTTGTGAAAATGATCAGTTCTACTTCAATGTTGTCATTTTCTCATCATGTGATGAATTGTGCGTCTGCAGCTTATCAGGCTGTTTGGTCTCAGAGGAAGGCTGTGCTTATCTGACCTCAGCTCTGACCTCCAACCCCTCCCATCTGAAAGAGTTGGACCTGAGCTACAATCATCCAGGAGACTCAGGAGTGAAGCTGCTGTCGGCTGGACTGAAGGATCCACACTGGAGACTGGAAGCTCTCAGGTATGGAGGAACCTGCTGCAGGAGCAGAGAAGGATATTATTGACTGGAAAGTAGCAAACATTTTTATGATTTGCTGAATAACATATTTTCCTCCCTGTCTCCTCAGACTGAGTGGCTGTAACCTCTCAGAGACAAGCTGTGAAGCTCTGTCCTCAGTTCTCAGCTCCCAGTCCTCCAGTCTCAGAGAACTGGACCTGAGTAACAACAACCTGCAGGATTCAGGAGTGAAGCTTCTCTCTGCTGGACTGAAGAGTCCAAACTGCAACCTGGAAACTCTCAGGTAACTCTGGGCTCTTGACAAATTGATGCATCTAAGATGCAAAAAGAAGCATAATTACAGATCCATCCATCCATCCATCCATCCATCCATCCATCCATCCATCCATCCATCCATCCATCCATCCATTCATCCATCCATCCCATCCATCCATCCATCCATCCATCCATCAGTTCAGACCTTGGTCTCAACCTCAATGTTCTCATTTTCTCATCATGTGATGAATTGTGTGTCTGCAGCTTATCAGGCTGTTTGGTCTCAGAGGAAGGCTGTGCTTCTCTGGCCTCAGCTCTGACCTCCAACCCCTCCCATCTGAAAGAGTTGGACCTGAGCTACAATCATCCAGGAGACTCAGGAGTGAAGCTGCTGTCGGCTGGACTGAAGGATCCACACTGGAGACTGGAAGCTCTCAGGTATGGAGGAACCTGCTGCAGGAGCAGAGAAGGTCTGATAGAGGAGGAAGAGGGAGAAATGTCTTTAGTCAGTCTGCTGGGAAACATTTAGTTTGAAGCTAAATAGTTAACTTGTTGCTCAAAGGAACAGCTTTTGTGAGTTGCTGCTCAGTTTTCCATCTCTGTATCCAACAGTTAAAAAGGGAAAGATAAAATCTGAGATTATCTCTGCTTTGCTTGAAGCTGGTGTTTTCCTTCAAACCAGCGCTGATGCTGTTATTCAGACTAGATTTCCACTGGACTCCTTCTGCTTAACCTGACACTGGTTTAATTTAATAAGGATTAATAAGGAGTTCTCTTGCCAGCCTCCTTATTGTCTGTTGTTCAATCATTGAAGACAGGAGGACCATTTCCAAAATGATCCAGTTCACAATGAAAGTCAACATAAAAATA